AATCTCTGAGTTACTATGCTCATGTGGACCGGAAGTCACTAGTGGGGACTGGAATCTGGTCACCACAGCATAGTTTGTCGAATTTTAAGGTTCGAAGCTCGGTGCCTGCAGTCCACATGTCGTAGTGTCCCTGGGCACAGACACTGCACCCCCCCAAGTTGCCCATGATGGCGGTGCGTATGCATGCAGTAGCCCGTGGGCCCTCAGCTCCAAACAAAAAAATTCGTTGTTCGTGTCACAATGCTACAACAATAAAAAAATAATAAAGCTTCTTACCTTCCTTGGCAGGGGGCACTGTGGGCAGGGGGGTGGTGGTCGGGGGCCTGGTGGGCGCCGGGGTCGGGATGGGGACTGTGTAGAGAGAGTGAACAGGTCACACACAAACACATGGAGCCATGAAAAGCTGCAGTTATGACCACAAGACAATCGCCACATGACCCTGAAAATCAAATCAATTTAAAAAAAACAAACACCTGATACAGTCAGATACAGTAGATAACGTACAGACTGTGTAAAATAACGACATTCAGCTCTGTTGCTCCTGTATAATTTAGAAATGTGATCACGGCATCGGCTGCAGTTTAAATCAATCTCCAACTGTTTCTGCTTTCAGCTTCTTCCCTTTATTCTGTGAGGGGAGGCACTGACACTCACGGTTTATTCACTCAGCGCCGTTTAGGCAGTAAATCAGCTACCTGAGGCTGTGAATTACTTGTGATGGCAGGTGGGGAGCGTTCAGTAGTGGCTGCCTGCAGCGATGGAGATAGTCATTTGGAGAAAAGGCTCTGGCTTTCATTTGCATCAAAACAAAGCAATAAATCACCGTGCATGCTCTCTGCAGAGCGAACGCACGGAGGGGAGCAGCTTCAAGCAAACAAATACCTGCTCTGGGAAAAGAGGCCTTCTTTCTTTGTTGTTCCTTTCTTTTATTTTTGTGCTTATTTCTTATGTCTTTGTTCAGCGTTCGGTTCAGTGTCCTCTCCTGTCCTTTGTTGTCTTTCTTTTCCTCCCTTTGGTTCTAACGTCTTCACTTCATTTCAGTTCACCACAGAAATAAACTTGCAAAGACTGAGTTTGTTCCAGAAGCAATTCATTTCAGGAAACAATTTTTCATCAAACCTGGATTATAATTGCTTGGCAGTGCAGACACTGCAAATCAGCTAACATCGAAATAAACTACAACCTTAATGCTGTGGGCCTGATGTTCATGTGGTTGAAGCTGGAAGCAAGTTTCTCTGCACACTGATGTGCACTGAAACAAAGAGCTGCCTACCAGTGAAACATTTTAAACTTCTTCTTTAAGAAAAGGGGGATCAGTATTGTACATGTTTGTCCCTGAAAGCTGACTTCAGTTCTGGCTCTGTCAGCTACTGCAGCCAAAAAGGAGGCTCATGTTGAAAACATGACACGTATCAGTGTTAACGTCATTACTTGCGCCAGCCTCTTCGAGGTACTTATGGTAAACAGGTGGCACAGAAATGGGTAACCAGGCCGCTGGAGTGAATGTTCCTCATCTGTGGCAGTGATGGATTTTTATACGATCTCTGTGCTTTGGTCCATTAGGTATTACATTTGTCTGCACAGCAGTTCTCATCTGTTGTTTAGCCTCACTGACACGAACAGGTTGGATAAAATAACAGATACCTCTGTGTGCAGCACTGCTCACTGCAGCAGCACCGACCGGGTCATCTAAGACGGTCACAGAGTCAACGTACCACCTCTCTGAATGGATTTCAACAACGTGATCGACTGCAGGGCTGCCACATCAGACTGCTGTACATGTATGAACACACCGAGGTGACATATAAACCTACTATCACACACTAGACGTACAGTAGCGCTCACTGAAGACACCCCTGTCTCCTCCCATGTCTCCAGACCAGGGAGGAAAGGGACTCGGCTCTCATCACTCCCACCAGGACAAAAGACATTCTGTGTTGAAAATGGCGTGATCAGCTTTCAGTGGGCTTCGTTTCCACACAGAGACATCTGACAGCAGCCTCTCCTCATTGTGCATGTGTTCCTGCTATATTGCTATTATGGCACATGTACGGGCATCATGCACAACGTTCACTTCTCCCATTGTGTTCTGGTTAAGTCCTGTTGTTACAGATTATACTGCATGTGGGCTCTACAATAAATGACTGACAGCTTCCTCTGTGACTGTGGCTCTAACAGGAACCCTGTGCTCGCTGTCACTGGGCATTTGTCTGTGTTTGGAACCAGAAAAGAAAAGGCTGTGAAAAATCCATCTGACTAAAACATATTTCTGAATAGATGCAAAGGAGCTTCACGTTATGCCGGCATCTGCTGAATCAATTCTCAAGTGAATGTTTCTGAGTGTAAAAGTCATGGTGAGAACTGGTCTGGCAAAATCCAACAATTTTAGCAACTCAAAAACAGAAAGCAGCTGGCCTTCCTAAAGGAAGTGTTTGTCAGTGTGCGTGCACTTACGTGTCTTCTCATTAGCAATGACTGCAGGTCCCTCAGTCCCATCCTGCAGCTGAGTGTACACACTGATCTTGTACTGCGTGTTGGGCTTCAGGTTGTTGAAGCAGTGCCGACTGGCTCCTCCGCCCAGCTTCGCCTCCTGCCTCTGACCATCTGCAGTACAGATACATAGATCACCCAGTCATCTCTCTGCAGAGGCTGCTAGTTTCACACTGATCCAGTGTTTGCCACATGGAGGAAAAGTTCTATTTTGACAAATCAGAGTAAGCGGGTCACCAAAACTTTCCCCATAGCTCCTGATGGCATTTTTTAAACCAGGCCTCTCAGATAAAGCCTCATTATGACTGTAGTCATTTTGTCCAGCTGTCGTGCTTCAGGCTGAACGTATACTGGTTTCGTACAGGGATTCTGCAGCAGATGGAGACTGCACTTTAACAGATTTGATTTCTTTTTTTAGATTTAGAACTATATGTATCTTGCTTCACAACATAAAAACTGCAAATATAAAACTGTATATTTAATGAGGACCTTCTTTCCTCAGCTCCTTAACAGCAGCAGAGCCGCAGCGGGGCTCAGTTCTGATCAGTATGGTGTCTGTGTGGCCAAACTCCACAGGCACACGATGGGAAACAGCCACTGGGACAGATGAGTCGCATTTCAGAATTTTAAAATAAAAGGCTGAAGGTCTCAAGATTTGCTAAATGTGTCATTTGCTGTGTGAGTCACAAAGTGGAGCCTCTAACAAAGGTTGCTGATGATGGAGGTTGTTAATTTCCTCTGTTTATTCTAAGAGCAACAATGAATGTTAAATATAGAAGCACTTACTGACTCACTGCATCCCTTTATTTCTTATTTATCATTCCAGTGTTTCACACAGAGATGTTTTAAACCACAGGGCTGTTTTTGTCAGCAGCTCACTTTGTGTTTCGGCATAAATAAAGCTGAATAAAATTAAACTTTTAACAGTTGGGAATAATTGATGGACCAAATCCAATTACAGAAATAATCAACATGTGATTGTTGCTTTTGTTCACTCCATGCTGGTAGTCAGGGTCCGCTGGCAACATGTCAAATATATTTCTAAAAAAACAGCCTGCATTCACTTCATCATTGAGAGCAGGTGGAACATTTTAATGAGTTAGACCTGCAGCACGGTGCCAAGTCAATTATTATAGCTGAAGTTTAGAATAAAACTGCCAATATAAAGTGACACCAAATAGACTTGTTTTAGCGCTGTCCAGGTGAAGGAGGTGTGGGGCTGCTCGATAGCACGCAGACAACACAATGCATTTACTGAGAGAAGCAGGATGTACGGACACTGTCCTGTATTCAGCTCCTCAGCAGGCCTTCAACAAAATACACGAACAGAGCAGCTAAAAAAAGTCAAATAACCCAAAAATTGTTCAAGCATTTGTTAAAAAAAATCTTGTGATGGAAAATCTGAGTGAGAACCATGTAATGTTTGCACCGTGGAAGTTGGAAGCTCATGCTGTGGGGCTGTGACCAATCAGATGATCCTGTAAATGTGGCAAGACAGGCTTCTCTACAGCTGTCAGTCAGATACCTGGATTTCATTACAGATGCAGAAACTGAGTGATAAAGTAAAGGTGAGAAGCTGTGAGTAATAAGCCCATAAAGACTTCGGAGTATTTACACACATTACCTACAGATGAAAAGGTTCTGACTCAATATGTTTTACATGTCGGAGCTCACCGGGGGTATTTTGAAACACAAAGTTCACAGTTACGTATCAAAGCCACAGTGAGGGGGGAGGAAATATATAATAAAAAATGATGAGTATAACCAGGAAACGTATGATCAGAGAAAGACCTATGGCTTTTGAGAACCTGGACAATCATTTGACACAAACGTCCAGGATTTGGTCATTTTCCATATGTGGCGTTAAAGAAAGAACTGAGTCAGTATTGCAGAAGATTTCAGGAGACCTTCCTCTGCTCCTCTCTCCATTTTATTTTTAAATGCCACCACCTTAGTGACGGGTAGTGTGTCCTCTCTCTCTCTCCCTGTACCTTTCTGCAGGTGGCCCCGTCTCTGGAGCTCTACGTCTCTGACGAGCAGTCACCGGCCACATCAACCTGCCCAGTGTTTGATTGTTTGTTGTGTCTTGATGCTTTTCTTCTTTTGTCTCTCCTCTATCCACTCACCCCAACCGATCGAGGCAGAAGACTGCCCACCAAGGGCCGGGGTCTGTCGGAGGTTTCTTCTGTTAAAGTGTCCTGAGATGATTGTTGCTGTGAATCAACGCTATACAAATAAAATTTAATTTACTATCCTGCTTTTTTCTGGTAATACAGAGACACTGATTTAACTGCATTAGTTAAACATCTGTGTCTGATTATTTTTAATTGTTGTGGTTCTCTGATGTCTGAAGCCTGATGTTGGTGTGCAGCGCAGGGAGTGGGTTATTCAGATATCAGTAGGAGGTAGTTTTCCTGGACAGGATGAGGTGAAGGGTTGATTTCTGGGAACTGTCATCTAACTCAACAACACTCTCCTGTCTAATGAGTGGACCTGTGAAAAGAATTCTCTGGTGAGTTCTGCTCCTCCCTACTGTGCCTTGCTCCCTGGATCTCTACTTCCCACTGTCTACACCAACAACAGGACAACTTCACATCGCTCTCCTCTCTCCTGCAACAGACACATTTCTCTGGTAATTACTTCCCAGCTGTGCTACCATAAATCCTCATTTAGCTCTATTGTGTGTTCAAGAACCAATAGCTCAGAGTTTCCTGAAGAAATACGGGGGAAACCACAATAATATGTGCCTTTTATGTGATGTTAATGAAGGGAGTATTGTTGCCGGAGGCCTAAAGGTGATGAATAACAGCCATTACTTTCCTGTTTGGTGGATGACGGCTGTATTAAAAGTCAACCTCAATCCCTGCGGTTGTGACTGAGTCGTGGACGTGGGCAATCAAACTGGGGCCACACCATCTGCTGTTTGATGTTATTTTGGGGTGTTGGAGTGCAATATCACTTTCAGACAAATGGGGAAATACGCAGTTATTTCTGTTGGCGCTCAGACCAGCGGCTGCTGAGAACCAGAGCGGGAAAAAAACCACTCTAGTAATTGCAAAGCTGTTTAGTGAAGGTGACCTTGGTGCAGAGTCTTTTCTGACAGCCGAAGTACGAGATGAACACATCAAACAAGAACGAATCTCATAAGAGGTGTAACAAAGACACTGAGTGGAATTTGCAGACATTAAGCTCAGACTGAGGGGTTTCAAGCTGTTACAGTTTCTTAAGGGCAGAGATAAAATCTGTTGCGCTGCAGCTCTGCTCAGTGTCCAGAATTTCAGTAAACACAGTTCGACTGTGAGCTTTACATTAAGCTCCAGATGGCACAGTTTAGAGGGACACTTTGAGGTTAAGATCCAGGAAAGTCAGTCAAACCACAGAAGCAGCGTTAAAATCATTAACAGTGCATCAGAAATCTCCAGACAAACTTTAACAACTATGTAAAGAGGCCAGTGATAAGTTTCACAAATTATTTCTAGGCTCACAGTTTGTGATTAAACCTGGATGTTTATATCACTGCAGGAGCTTTTTCTGTAGCTAGAAGCCCGATCACATGAGAGGTGGACGGCAGTGAATGACCTGATATTTAACAAAAGGACAAATCAGTCGTCAGCTTCTCCCTCGTCCAGCACGCACACAGATTAGGACAGACAACAGTGAGTGAGATACAAGCTGTGGCTTCACCACAGAGGTCAGAGGTCACTGCAGAAAACATTTCCTAAGCAACACTAAGAAACTTTAGATTTTGTTTGCTGTACGTGTGCAGTGACTTGTACAGACAGCAGCCTCCATTTCACTTCATCTCCACACTCCCACACACAGACTGAACTTCAAATAGAAGCACTTGCTTTCTTTTAATTGTTTCAGAGAAACTGTGTTCTCACAATCAGAGAACAGGCTGCAGGTGCGACCCAGGCATCATCTGTAAATGCTCCCCCTTTACCTTTCAAAATAGACACAACAAGGTATAATTACTGTCATTTCTCTAACGAGAACATCTCATCCCAATGCACTCGGCAGCCCCGACACTGACCTCTTGTCTTTTATTTCCTCACACAACAAATGTAAATGTCACCGGGGCTGCGATCTGCGAGCGCTCGTTGTCTGCAGAGCGGCTCGGTGTCTGAGTGCACAGCTAAACCTTTAAGACTGTCAGCTTGTCTGTGACAGCGCACAACAGTATCGTCGTCATCTCAGGCTGTTTAGGGACACTGTCTCTGTGCCACAAGATGAAAGCATGTGAGCATGAATGAGAAATTTACAGCTGCACTTAAAATATGTCACATTCCACTTACTGGTTGATGCAGCAGTAGGTTTTTAACCTTTATTTATTCAGGGTGGGTCCACTGAGAGGCCACCTCTCTTTTTCAGGGACGCCCCGTTCACATTCACACCTGGAAGCACAACCACAGACTGACCAGAGAATGTGGCTTGAGAGGTGGGAAACTTCACATGTATGTTATTTCCATTTGTTTCTATTTTCCCCTATAGTGTTAACGTCTACACAATCCCTATTCAGTCGCAGAAGGAGCAATGTGTTATGCAGCTAGCCCATAAAAACAACAGTAAACAACAACACAATGACAGTAAATTTGCTGGAGGAAAGCCCCAGTATCCAGTGAACCTACTGTAAACAGCTTAGCACAGAGACAAGAAGCATCAAACTATATTTTCCACCATCTCTAAACTTGTCTGTTTTGTTTGAGATGCATGCGATCATGGAGTTAAGGCACTGCCACAACGTCAATGAAAAAGGAATCCCAAACTGTTTCTATTTGCATGAAGAAAATACACCAAATGCAAGATGTGAATGTGCTTGTGAGTTACTAGGAGATGTATTTCTGACTGATCACAGGTTCACTACCTGGCTTTTCCTTCTGCCTGTGACTAAAGGAAGATCCAGATAAATGTGCACCAAATGTCCCGGGACATATGCACAGTAGAACAGCTGCTGTTTGTGTACTCACTGAGCAGCGACTCGATGACCACTCTGTAGGCGCTGGCGTGTCGGTGAGGCTGCCACTGGGTGCACACACCAGTCATCCTCACCTGGTATGTACTCAGGTTGGTCACGCCCAGGTACACTGCAGAGAGAAGGCACAGACACAGTTTGATCAGTTCATTTATCTTTTCAACACAGGGTTGAGGCGTCTGCACTTGCTGACATGTCTACAGAAGGAAAATATTTTAAGAATTCACTTTAGTTCTTTAACTGTGAACTTCTAACCTGTGATTTGGTTGCATTTTTACAGCTCAGTGCTCCACACGGGGGGCAGAAGAGCAGGGTGTAATGGGAGTGTCTTTGATGTGATCACCACCTCAACCTCACCTCAGTCTGTGGTTTTGTGCTACCGACTCACCCCATATCATTTCACCTTCTTTGTATAGAGTGTGATAGTGGTGGTGGGATGTAGAAACGCAGCTGGGCTTCTTCAGAACAAAACGTACAGTAAGGAGTTGTAAACATTCTGGTCCACACGCCGCTGTTATAACCGTATGAAACTACACTGAACTCACGTCTGAGAAACCACATGCCCTCATGCTTCCAGATGACAGAGTTAAAATCATGTGGCCTGTTGGCTTCAAGGTCACCGGTGCACATTTCCATGGGCTTATTTAAAGACATGCCTTTGCTCCATAAGTGCAGCTTATGCAAACACTCCCACGCACACGAATGTCCAAACAAACCCACACCAACACTGTTTATGCAAATGTATGTATGCACTTTCATCGTCTGATTGTTGAAAGCATCATTTGTTCTAGCTTCAAAGACATTAACGTCCATTCTGTCCATTCTACGAGTAATGGACCTTGTACATCACAGTATACTTTTGAGTATACAGTTGAGCTAAATATTTAATCAGCATTATTTTGGATTCATAATATATCTCTGCCTAATGTTTACCTAAAAACCTCAGCGTGTCTTCATTTGATCATGCGAAGGGATAATTAACTCAGCATCTGAAGAGCACAGAGCAGATACCAGGAGACAAATGGTCACAGCAGTTGAGACTGAACATGCCGTTATTCATAATGTGACTATATCCTGCTGGTGCATTAACAATTCCCACAGAGGAAAACTGAGAATTGATACAGTGGCCAAACAGGTTGAGAGCAGATTTCTGTTTATTGGTAAACATCTTTGTGTTAGGCCGAGTTCCCAGAGTGCACACCCTGTCATCATGACAGTCCAGATGTTACTCTCACCCTCACCCATGAACAAGAACCCAGGACAGTTGAGCGTCCCCACTTGGGCACTGACTCACTCCTTTCCCCAACAGAGTAGCCTGGTGGCATCTGATACAGACGCCTCCTGGACACCTTCCTGTGGAGGTGTTCCAGGCCTGTCCGACCGGGAGGTGACCCCTGCCCAAACCAAGAACACACTAGAGCGATTACTTATCCCTCGCTGCAGGATCTCCCAGGAGGAGCTGGAGGACAAGGCTCGTCCTGCTGCCGCTACGACCACGATCCAGATAAGTGCTCCAAAAAGTCTAATGGATGGATGGATGAAACTGTCACTGAACATGGCACTTCTCCACAGACTGGATGTAAAAATGCTGTGCAGGGAATTCTTGCTAGCTTGTGATTTAATCATCAAATACTGTCATTTCTTGCACTGCAGTCTGAAGAAATGTATAATTTAATAACAGGTGGAAAGATATGATACTGTAAAATGTGGCGCTGAGTTACCAAGAGACTTGCAGGGTTTAGAAGCTGGCTGTCGGCCCTGTGCACCCAGATTGTTCTAGTGGACAAATCTCTGAGCAAAGGTACTTAAATAGTGAAATCCTTTACATCCACAACTATTTTTTTTGCACCTGCACCTGTTCTGCTCTTGCTCTACTCTGTTTTTAATTTTTTCCACCTGCACTTGTTCTGCTCTTGCTCTACTCTGTTTTTGTTATAATCTTAAGATCATGACTAATCTTTTCTCAACATTGTTCTTTTGTGTTTCCCAGCATTCGTTCTGTTGCTTGATTGTGTACTGCTAGTACTGAAATCCATGAAGAGACTCAGACTCGTGCAATGAGGCTTTCATGAACTCAGGTGAATGGCAGCCAAAAGCTTATAGCTCAGGTCTCGATACATTCTGGATCTGGATCTTTTCAGTTACAGCACACATGAATACTATTGTTCAGCCATATCCGGATGTTTAAACTTTACCAAAACTGAAGTGAAAGGACATTAGGAAACCCTGAGGTGTCAGGCTCCTTGTTACTGGTACCTCTGACACCTGTGCTGCTGTTCAGTCCACTCATCCCTGCTGGGCCACTGGCTTCATCAACATACTGCAATATGACAGACACTCCAGTCACCTCCTGGGACGCCACTCGTTCTAATCTCTTTTTAACTCCACCTATCTCTCCATCTTTCCTTTGCCTTTCCCCATCTTCTTCAGGGTTTGTCCTCTTCTTCCTTCGTCTTTTTCTTTGCCCAAAGCTCCTCCAAAACTCGCCCTTCAAATCTAGTGCTTACTTGTTATGCAGGTGAAGGAAACTGTGACTCCAGTGCAAATTGACATGCACCATTTACAGCTACATGTTCAGGCATTTAGCTGACACTTGTCTCCAGAACAGAGAAATGCGAATGGATGACAGGGCAGAGGACACTTTTCAAACCACAGGGCGGAGAAGGGCACACGTTGGCTGCGCCAGCTGATATGGTGACCGAAGCAGAGACCTGTCCGTTTCAAAAGGGAAGTTGTTAATTATCATGCAGGAGTGAAATCCAGGCTCCTACTTGAGGAGCAGTGATTGATCGAACTGGGTCAGACACTCAAAGAGCCTCAGGAAGTGTCCGCAGTGCCAGCGAGATTACTGAAATCTATTGCATCTCCAGTTCATTCCAGGACCGGGCTGTAATTAGATGAAGCTGCCATTAAGTGTCAGATGGGTATCAGGATATTGATGACTGCAGGTGTGTGGCTTCTCTGATTAGAGCAGAGATCTTTTTATTCATTTGTGTTCAAAGAGGGGGAACACAAAGAGAGGACAGATAACACGGAATATCAATGGTTTAGAAAATGTCAACCAAACAATTAAGTTCAGAAAATACTGGTCTGATTAGAGTTCACTATGAAGTGGAAACAGAATCTTCTGGTTTTCAAACAGTGGACAGTTCAAAATAAAGAGAGATCCAGTCACAGAACAACCACTGAGGAAGAGAAGCTGGCACGTGTACAGAAACTGGCAATAAAACATTTTGTAAATATGCTAATGAAAACAGCGTCCAACCCATACAACCTTCACGGTGAGCCGCTCTCTATTCTCAACAGAATAAGAGAACTGAAGCAGAATTGACGAGAAAGATAACGAGGCAGCAGCTGAAAACTCCTCCATCCAAATCTCTTAATCAGTGGTTCTGGCTACAGCGAAGACAACCATGATAAAAATTTTAAGACCGCATCCTGTAATTAGCTGGGACTGCTGCTTAAAGCATCAGATGGGTATGAAGAAATGAACGTCTGAAGTGTTTGATTGGCTGCTCTAATTGGCGAAAAAAATAAATTAACTTTAAAAGACGGTTTGGAGTTGCAAGACAAATTTATCTCCAAGCCCATCTCGCACTTCCAGCGATAAATAATCTGTATGAGACAAAGGCTAAGACCAAGAATGAAGAGGTGATTGGAGCTATGATAAGTGGTGTCATACGAGGTCCGCATTAATGTTTGTTATCTGTAATTAAGCTAATTACATTTAGGTGTAACCAGCAGAAAAAAACAAGTATTCTAACGCTGAGACAGAGAAGCAGTAGCCATACTGTAGTAAACTGAGTAGTTTCATAGTATTAAATCCAACTTGGCCTGTATAACTTGTACTGTATATACACTGTCTATGAATAACACAGGTGTGTCACTACTTCACATATACAAGAAGTACACATGCAAGTATTTGCATAAAACTGTGTGAAGGATTAACGGTCTTCCAGGAGACAAAACCCACCACAACATAGTGGCGACATCACATTAAAGTCACAGAGGTGGACCTACGTGTCTTGGCCCTCCCTGTCAGGGCTTCACTGGACCCGGTGGTGTAGGAGGCGATGACCTTGACACTGTAATCCGTCCCACTCAGCAGGTTGACGATCAGCATGGTGTTCACTTCCTCCCCGACGAAGGTCTCCAGAGCCGGCCCCGGGGCTGCAGACGACCGAGATAAGACACGTCAAGGAGGAGCGAAGGGTCAGAGAGAGGAAGAAGCACAGAGGAGCGGGGTGACAGACAGACAATAGCTTCAGTTCCAGTGAAGAGGAGAGGACGGGCCAAAGGGACACACACGGTAAAAAATAACAAGTAGAGGAAATCCACAACAACATGAACTAATGTTTGTGGGTCAGATCCAGAGTAAGACGCTTCATAAAAATGTATGTTCATTGAATCTGTGAAAACCAAACATCACAAATGTCCCAGCCTCATTTGTGTTTTTCTAAAAGTACTCATGCTGTCTGTGCTCTTTATTATGACATTCGAGTGTCGGTATGTTTATTTACATTTCCATGCAGATTGGTGGGATTACATCTATTTGTATTTACAGTATGTAATTCTTTCACAGAAGGCTCACTGCTAAAGGGATAAACACAACGAGCAAAGGGGATTTGTGAGAAACTGTTCTCTCTCAGCTTGTTCCTCGGACAAATAAGAGCAAAATATCACTAAAGCAAAGCTCATCATCTCCAGAGGTCGAGGTCTAATCTTGTCATCTCCGACCTTCACCCCAGCATCAGGACAAACAAGAAACGAAAATCCAATTAGCAATTTCCCCTGTAATTTGCTAAATATCCTCAAGGAAACGCTCTCCATGAGTTTACATTACTGGCCTGATAATTATGTTTCAGGTAAAAAGACAAATGTACTACAGTAAAATGACGCTATATTGCAAAGACCTCAGTAAAATGTAGTTTAACTTGACGTGCACAGTTTGTGTAAGTTACCAGACAAAGGCTGGTAGATGACTCTGTAGCCCATGGTGGGTGAAGGTGGAACGTCCCAGCTGATCCTGAAGCGGTTGTACCACTCCTCCGATACACGCAGGTTCCTAGGCGCTGAAAGAGGAACTGAGGAAAGGGGACAGGGATCGGGGGGGGAGACCATGACAACATAATTAACAATCATGGCTTTAAGTTTGCTTTAATGAATTTATTTGGCTCCTCTGATTCTTGAGTACCCAGTGGTGTGTTTATCAGCTGCTGCGGTGATTAAAAAACGAGGATGACAAGCAACTATAGCCTTCATCTGCTCAAAGCAGTGACAGGAAGAAGACAGATGAATAGAAAGAGGGAGGCAGCATAAAGAAAGACACGGGGAAGCTGACAGGAAATCATTCATAAAAAAATAAAAGTGAACAACTTAGAGAGGACCGATGGATGCAAACACTACAGTGAAATACAAGTGAATGTAAATAAGATGAAATCCATTAGTAAAACACTTCCCAACAATATAACTTTCATCATGTCAGATTGTTTAAACAGCGCTGTCATCGCACAGCAGAGAGAGAAACGTACGGGGAGGAAGTGGAGGGACACAGAGGGAGATAATGAAGAGGAGTCGGAGCAGGATGAAAGTCTGATAACACTTTGTAAAATTTCACCAGTCAGCATAGTGAAAATGTAAAAGCTCTCTACAGAGTGAGCTGCAGAATTAGTCTGCCAGGAAGATAGGATTAATCAGGAGGACGACAACTGGGACAAGTCAGTGCAGGATGGTATTAAATGTACATTTTAAAAAGTGCTTTCTGTCACAACATCTGTGCATCCACTCTGCAGGCCGGTGCTTCCTTGACCAGAAACCTGAGACTCTTTCACATCTAAATCCCCAAGTGCATCTGCTCGCTCTCACGTTGCACATTTAAAATGCTAACAACTGTCCCTGAGTATCCATCCTCTCCATTTCTGAGCTGAAACTTCTAGATTCTACTGGCTCTTCTGCCTCATCTCCCCTCTTCACCCTCAGCGCCCGTTCACCATTAAAAAGCCAATCACCCTCTCTGGCTTCAGCTGTACTCACCCTCATATGTTTAAATCGCCACCTTACACTCGCCTCTTCCGTTGCATCATCGCGCTTCGCTGTGCCCTCGCTGACAAAATTACCTCTGAGCTCTTTCTGCCATCCCTCCTCTGTATTCACCCTTCAGGCTCAGCAGTAATGAGAAACTGAAGAAAGAATGAATCCTTCTCACCAGCGGAGCATTTTCAGACACCGACCAACACTTTTAGGAACTTGGGTTCTAATTCTGCATGTAGAGTTTTGGTTCCTGGACATAGTTTGTGTCTGCTCTCTGTTAAGGGTCAGACAAGCAAACACAGGGACACTAGTCCCCAAGCTGGTTCCTGATTTTTATTTCCCAGTGCAGCATGAACTCTGGATCACAAGCTCATGTGCTTATTATAATTATTTTTTCACACTCTGTGTCCATACTGAGGAAGTCCAGCATCTTCTGATTCTCTGTCCTACTTCATCCCTCACATGTCCAGTCTGCACTACCCTCTGGTTCACACTAAACCCTGTCATCCTCTGTATTCTCTCCCACACCTCTCAGCGATCAGCCCGTCTCTCAGTGGATGACACTCCCACATTATTCTGTCTCTTCTGTCACATTATCTGTCTTCAATCTGAGGCTATAAACCCAATCATCCTCTCTGAATTCCCTCAGTGTTCGCTCCATCTCTCATAGGTTCAAGTCCCCAGATTACCAGCTCCCTCTGTCACACCATCCATCTTCACTCTGAGAAACCCAATCATCCCCCCTCTCTGCATTCCCTGTCGCTCCTCCCTGGGTGATCATCTCATCCCTCACTTGCTAACAGGAGCCATTCATCATCAGTCGGAGGCCCCGTCGTTTAAAAAGCGGACAACGTTGTTAGCCTCTGCTAATGTGTGTAATGCGCCGCACCAGGAGACGTGATGGGACGGAGGGGGAAGATGAATGACTTGAATTGAGTGTTTCCTCCACCCTGAAAGCCGAGTGTTTGTTCTGTAACATGCTCGGCAGCAGAGAACATTAGCTGCTGCCACCCTCACTGCAGCATTCAGTCACACCGAACAAAGAGAAAACAACGCTTCTCACATTGTTCTGTCTTCAGCTCCACAGTAAAGACAATGACTCTTGTACATGGAGTTACGGAGACAGGTTAATTGTTCTGTCTTCAGCTCCACAATAAAGACAATGACTGTTGTACATGGAGTTACGGAGACAGGTTAGGCTCTTCTTCCTCCCCTGAAATTGTCTTAATGAGCTGCACAGACACACATAATTTAGGTGTATTTGTTTTAATGCTCAGGTGAATGAATATCATTAACAATACAGCTGAACAGGAAAACATTTATCATAATGTCTTATTCAAAGCTGTCATGATGTTCACAACATGGGCTTAAATAACCAAGTTCCCATCTTGTGTGTCCAGGGATTTAACAGAAATGAATCCTTTCATTTATTTTGGCAACATGAAGGATGACGCCCCCTCAGTCCGTCTCCCCTCCCCTCTGGCAGCAGACAGCCTAAAGAAGATGAATAGCGAACACGTTTCTGTCCCTCTTAAACTGCAGTGTTTGTTTCCCAGAGTAATGGGAATGTTGTCTGAGAGGGTGACAGCCACAGTGGGAGGAAATCCTTCTGTCGTCTTAATTTCACCTAGAATGAAGGCTGCTTCCTCTGAGGAGCACGGTGTAGGTTTGTACACCTGCACAAACGCATGCTGCACATTTTCATATGAGGAGCCAATCGACACGTAATGCGACACAGACTCCCAGAACTCTGCAACAATGCCAGTCCATCTCGTTTCAAAGAGGACATGAATTTACACATCATTGTCTTAAATTTATTTCACTGACTCTTTTTACTCCCTCAAGTTTTCAAGTCGATTGATCTCAGCTTTAAGTCCATTTCTAACTCATTCATCTTCAGTCTTCAAACCACTAACACCCATTAAATCTCTTTTCTATGAACAACTCTCCCTATTCGCACCACTGTTACTTCCATCTTTCTTTTCAGTCATTTGGTCCTGACAGGAAGTGCTCAGCACAAATCCCATAATAATTTGCTCTGTGTCAACCATAGCACAACTTGAGTGGACATCAGAGCGACAACACGTCAGAGGCTGCTGGAGGATCACGAGTTCAGGCAGTGAGACTCAATAGTTTGTCCATTTAGGAAGTCGGTGTTTAAACGTGATCATAATGAGAAAAAAACCACTGTGACTTACGTGTCCGTCCGTTCCGTGCCACTGTCGGCCCATCTCCGTCAAGGTAAACAGGTGTGAGAGAAACTCTGTACTCCGTGTCCGACAACAGATGCTGCAGGACCAGGCTGTTCTGACCAGTGGGCACCGTCCTCTGGAAAATTTTAATTATTGGGAAGACAGAAGAACAGTTGTAAAGAAAAACAAGTCAGTTTAGTGTTTTCTTTAAAGGTATAATGTGCAAAACCCATTTCTGCCACATAACATTTATCTGTGTTAGGTCAAACACATGGACAGCGCTGTGCTGGATATTAGGAGGACTGCTGCAGTAACTCTCCACCTGCTGTTCTGTTTATGAAAAACAGCATGTCACAGGTACAGTAATGGTGAGAGGGAATCAACAACAATATCTTGTTTCCTGAAACCTGCTTTGAGTGTCACTTTCACTGTTTATGTGAGCTTTCCTGCTTTATAATTCGCATTACTTTAATTAATTTCACACCACACGGGTGCTGTGAGATCAGATGGTGTGAGGTGATGAGCCGCTGGGAGATGTTGTGATGGCAGGAGAAACACACAGCTGGAACAGGAATCCACTGGTTTGTCCAGCTGTTCTGATTTGATTTGCAAAAATCAGGAGGATCACAAAAAAAAACAAAAAAAAACAACAACCCTGGAAGTGTCATATGTCTGGCGTTCAGGTAACCTGGAGCCAGGGTTCCTCCTCACTTGTCTGTGAGCTTGGCCTTTTGTTCAGGGGAGCTGGCTTTGTCCTGCAGGCTCCTGTTCTCTCTTCATCTCTGCTGCTCACGCCTTCTTCTTCTTCTGCCCCTCTGTTGCTTTCTCCACCTTTGTTTTTCATTTCCTGTTTCTCTCCCTGTTGCTTATGAATTATAATGATTTATTGATTTAACCCAAGGGAGTTCTCTTTCTTTATTTTTATTTTTTGAAGCTTTTGACTCATCTTCATTTTCTCACCCTCATCTCACAAAGCCCACTCTGCCGTTGTTCTTCACACTGAGTTTGGATCGTTGGGCAAAATGAATGAAATATTCTAATACAAGCAATATCAACTGTATTTTCTGTTCTGTGGGTGGGGGGGCAATTCATCACAAAACTGTTAAGTGGTTTATATAAAAAGCACAAACCACTTGGCTATTAAATGTGTTTGGCTAATAAAACAAAACACTGACAAATCCAGTTACTGTGGTGCACAAAATCAGAGCCTTGCTCGCAACAGCCTAAGCAAAAATAAAGGGAGAGCTACGTCAGTAAAACCTTTACAGGACATTTTATATCATCATATTCCTGCAGCTCAGGTAAGTCAGATTCATTCATCAATCAAAGACATGGTCCAGCGTTTCAGTGTTCAGTGTAGCAAACCTGTAAACAGTTCAGTGGTATCACACCTATGACTAAACAGAGTGGGCAGGAGAAATCTTTTAATTTGTTGAATGCTGAATTCTGTGTGCATGTAGACAACCTGAGAGCCTTCACTTAGTCTTTGTGTGGAGCTGCCTCTCTCTGCCTGTCAGGCCTGCTTGCATTCTGAACATGTGCAGTCTTGCCCGGCTCCATCCACAACCCCTCCGCTTCCCAAAAAACACTCTCTCAGACGTGTCAGTCAGACAAACACTGCAGGCCTTGACAAATCAATTTCAGCCCAGGCTGATGAAAAAGGCAGCAAGTCTCTAAACTGTCACTGAGCCACACAGCTGGAAGAAGACGCCTCCAGCTACAGTTTTTAAACTCCAAATGCAAACACGGTTTCAAAAAGTATTTATATGATTCAGAAACCCCATCTAGCTCTGACAGAGGCTCTGTCCAGGCCCAGAATATTAAGGCTGATCCACCTGAGCTGCTACTGGAGCTGCAGGCTTGAAGGCAAACCGCGTGAGAAACACAGTCAAGGAAACAGGTGATGGGGTCAATTTAAGGTGACTATACCAATAAACAGTATGAACATACATCCGCTAAACTTCACAGTACTGGACCCAAAAAAACACTTCAAAGGATTTGGAAAAGAAAAACCTGATCTAGACACTTCTAAAACCCTGCAAAGACTCATTTAAACACATTTACAGAAGCCACCGAGCATAAAACGCACATCATAATCCAGGGGATCCAGGTGCAGGTGGCCCTCCACACAACTGGCTGATGAGACCCCCCTCTTAAGACCAAGATGCACCTTAATACAAAAACCTGTGAATCCCACGCCAAGAACTAGCTTCGGACAGAAAAAGCAGTTACCAGCTACCCCGAACGTACAACCACCTGTTATCACATGATTGATGTTATGCATCTTTAGATGCAAAAAGATTTTGGTTTTAGGTTCCAGGGTTGTTTGGAATAACGAACAAACCAAGAGCGATAGAGCAACAGATTCATCACCTTGATCCAGTTTCTGATGTGTGGATGCCATCATGGATGGCAAAGGAGTTGCAGAGTATAGAATCTAAAAAGTCAGGGACAGAAAGCAAACCACGACACCTAAAACTTTTTATTCCTCCCTTGACTATGTTTTTACCTCCTGGAGCATTTTACTGCAGAGCAATAATAGGAAAAACTCTGTTTACACACGGTGGAATTGCACTTGATGCCCTGCAGCTTTGGTTTATTGGCCACTGAATGAAGCAACACAGGGAAATAATGACGCTTCACTGAGTTCAGAACCACAGCTGCTGGCGGACAGATGGCTGCAGAATCAAGTCGCGCCCAAAGATATGGTGTAGATGCTGACATCTGTGAGAGACAATGACACAACTAACTGAATGGGTATAACCATTAACGTCCACATTTATAAGCTTGTAGAAAGCTGAGCGTTGAAAAAATCTGAACTCAGTGATAAAGGGTTTGTGTAATACTCCAGCAGTGGGCTCTAAAATGGCTTCAGTCTTGGTTTTTTTTACCTCTAGGGGGCAGAAACACTGCAGAAGAAGCTACAGAAGGGACAAATTAAAGGAAGATCCTGAATAAATGAGTGGCCTTTTCCAGGACAACAGTGGCCCCACCCAGTCAGAGCTGTGTGGGTCTGCAGCGAGTAAGCGAAACCAGCTAACTCAGAAATGCAGACACGGTTCCCAAACACTTTACTTTACCTGTTTACTTTACCTTCTATTAATGGAGCAGGGCCAGTGTCCTGCTCTGAGGCTGTGGTGGTTGTAAAAAGTTACACTCTGTGAGATAAAACATAGACGCTTTGAAATAACCAGCAGTGGTCCTCACAGTCCTCCACAGCTCAAAAACATGCAAACAAGGGTTTTTGGGGAATGAAAGAAGACTTGTAGAATTAATGCCAAAGTGCACCAAAACAAACAGCTTAAGATGGTGCACTGCAGCTGTTCTGGTGGCACGTGGGGGCCCAGCAACTTTAGCCTGGGTCGTCCTTTAGTCTGTCACCTGTCTGTAGCTGTTCTCAGGGTGTTGTCAATACGAGGCATCTAATTAGCATAATGCGATTGTTTCATGCACCGTTTATATAAAAAGACTGAGCAGAGAACTTTAAGATAAATTCAGGTGTTTACCACCAGCTTCTCTTTGAATACAGGCCCCACACCACTAAACCTACACCAAGTGACTAGCACTGACAGGCGACAGGTGCATCATCCGGAGACTCATTGTTTTCAATCCAGCCAGCACCAGTGTTGTTTTGCAGCGACAAAAATTTAAATGGAAACTCTTTTTTTCAGGTGAATGTGATTTGAGCATGTAACAAAACAATGAGATGCTCGGGATAAAAGCGGTGCAGAGAGAAGAAATCACAGACTAGTCTCAGCCCCCGGATCAGTGGGAAAAGAGAAAAGCAGTTAAAAATGCATAAAAGCTAAAGCAAAAACACTCCATGAGAGGATGTTTCTGGGGCCAGCACACCACTTACATGTAAATCTGAACTTAAATTACATGTCTGCCATCCCTCAAAGAAGCCAGACAAGAGAAGCTGATTTGCCTAAAGCCTGCCCATCAGAGTCTGGTATGGATTTGACTTGACACGGGGGGATGTTGCTTCCCATTAGCTATAGGCACAGCTCCCGATGATTAACACGCTTGTGTCTGACTAACGAAGTTTTAAAATATTGAAAGCCTTTTTTTTTTCCTGTCTGTTTTTCTGAATATGAATTTTTTCATCATGCTTAAAAAGCTCATTGCTGCCGTAAATCTGCAGTTAATTGAACTTGATTTGATTTTGTCGGTACAGAGCCACCTTGCCTTCGACAACTGTGTGCAAATTACTAGCAGTGTAAGCCCTGATTCCATCAAGATGAAGTGGGGAAAGTGCCATCCAGAAATCAATCGCTGGTAAATGAGTTAGTTTTCTCTTTTTTAATGGCTGGTGCCCATCACTTGGCAGCCTCAGGCCAGTGCAACTTGCTCTGGACAAAGCAGGAGAGG